AACCCTAACTTGCTGTCTTTGGGAAAATAGTTTCCTCCAGAAGTGAATGAGTCACTATAGACAATCTACAGCTGTACGTAAGAGGCATTTGTGTGAAATCAGTTTCACATGACATGCAAAACTTCTCTGAATTTGTTTTATAATCATTGTTGATGAAATCGTACATTATCTTTGAATGTTGGCTCCATTCTTTATTAATTGTGCTTTTCCTCCTGCCTGACATGTAGTTGGGCGGTTCCAGCTGCTTTTGTGGTGATCAGGGCTATTGTCACATAAGTCTATGGTTTGCAATCACTGACCCAAGGAACTCCCTCCCTATCCAATATTTGAGAGGCAGTGTTGATGAACAAAGTAGGTAGAAGACAACAATCACTCGCTTTTAAGGCAGATTCTTTCCATCTCAGATAGTGTCAGAGTAACTGAATCCTTGACCAAAAAGAATTACACCAATTCAAGAACTATTTTCTCAATTGTATGCAATTTTTGGTTTACTGGCAATAACTCAAGCAATTACTGAAATCTTAACAGAGGTCCTACTAGTGAAGTCAATGATTGTCTGCCTCTCAAGACATGGCAGGAAAGATGACGTTTTAGCTATCCACCTCGGTTATCTGATTTTTCTAGTCCAGGTGTTTCTGGCTGACCAGGAGAAGAAATAATTTAAATCACCAGTAAGGAAAATACTCCACACATCAAAGAGCCTTTTTATTTTTTGCCTTGTGTAGAATACAATATGTGGCATGTTGGTATCATTTTACAAGTAGTCCTTGACTGATGACCACAGTTAAGCCCAACTTTTCTGTTGCTAAGTGAGACAATTGTTAAGTGAATTTTGCCCCATTTTACAACCTTTTTGCCACAATTGTTAAGTGAATCACTGCAGTTGTTAAGTTTAGTAACAACTTGATTTTGCTTGTCAGAAGGTCACAAAAGCTGATCATATGATTCTGGGACAGTCCAACCATCATAATTCTGAATTGGTTGCCAAGCATCCACATTTTGATCATGTGACCCTCGGGATGCTGCAATGTTCATAAGTGTGAAAAACAGTCATAAGTCTTTTTTTCAGTCCTGTTGTAAATTTGAATTGTTACTAAATGAATGGTTGAAAGTCAAGGAATACCTGCATTATGTGACAGAGAGCTGGGGGCTGATGGGTTCAGCTTTTGTCAGTTTTTCTGTGAAGAAAAATGCATGACAAACAAAGCACTTTGTGCTCTGTCAACCTGGAGGGATGGTCCCCTCTCCAAAACCTTGCAAAAAAAAAAATAATAATAACTTAAAAGAACAAGACCTTAACAAGGACTGATATTTTTTGCTAAGCTCTGCCTCTTGACATTGAATCAGACTTATCAGCATAAAGGTTGCTCCAATTTTATTGTTATTCCCCATTTTGGGGTCTATCATCTCTTTTTTCTTCAGTGAGAGGCGAAGGCATATGAGTGGCCCTGTTGGTCTCATCATCTTGGAAAAACCTCATGCAGTGAAATTCCCATGATATCTGTTGTAAGCAGAGTTGCAGAAATATCTGCTTAGTGGAGCCATCAATCTCTGCTAGCAAAAAGGAGATTATACTACCAGATGCAGAATAGACCACAATGGCAGTTTTTAAGGAATGGGTGGGTATAATTTCAGGGTGTCCAAACTCCAAATTTATTTTCTGGAGTGAGGCTATCCTCCTGTCCAGATATGGAAATATAATAACAGACAACAAGGGCAATACAATCTTATCTTGTTTATGATTTTATTATGTTTCTAAAATAGTTTTCTGAACATATGAATACAACCAAATTAAAGGATTGGGAAAAATAATACAGATGGAATAGACTCTCACCTACTCTTCTACAGACTATCTCCATATATAAAAAAGCCTGGAGCCACAGGCAGCACTGAATATTCTCCAGAGAGAGAAATGCCTTGAGCTAATCATGATCTGTTAAATTCAAGCCTTATACTTACATGTGTTGCATTTCAGTTTACATCCAAAGAGTATATCATAAAAATGACTGGATAAATCCACAGTGTGACATTACCAGCAATTTGCTTGATAAACTTACTTCTCAATATAAAAGATTTGCATTGCTTTGGGGCAAAATTAGGAAAATACTGGAAAACACATGAAGTCTTCCTACATGATAAATAGGTGTAACAACCTGCTTGGGATGCTTTGGGGCAGGGTTCAGTTTTTCTTGTCTCTTATTTGTTAAACAAGAAAAAAAAGAGGTGCTGGGTTATAACTCGTTTAGTTTGAGATATGAAAAAAAAAACAGGTTTTGAGCTTGAATAACATCTAAAGCATTTGAATTTAAAAGGAATTAAAGACTGTCCTTGCATAAGCCAATAGAATCCTTATAAAGATAAAAGGCAATCTAGTAAAGTACAGAGAGAGCAGATTCCCCAGTGTGGAGATCTATGCTCTGCATTAGAAACAGTTTTATTATTTATATGGGCATGTGTTTTGTCTGGAGGAATTGAACAAGATTGCTCAAATATAAGAAAGTTAACTGGAAATGGGAATTTGTTTTTGTGCCACTTTGATTAAGGGATCCTCATTCCAGCCTCCACCTCGTGAAACTATACTGTGTAACAAACCAGTCCTTAGTTAGCCATCTGAGAAGTGTTTTCTTTTGAAGTCGTCAGACTTGATTGGTTTTTGTCTTTGTGTGAGCAGAAAAGGGCAGCGTCAGCTAAACTGGTATCACCTATTTATTTATTTTACTTGGCTCATTTGCTATTTTACTTGTTATCATTGGTGTGTATACATACACACTTAAATATACATGTATATACCTAAATAGAGAGCCAAGTAAGGTACCAGGCTAGAAACTGGGAGAATGTTATTTCTAGTCATTTTTAGGCACAAGGCCAGCTGGATGACCTTGGGCTCGTCATTCTCTCAGCTCTAGGAAGTGGCTAACAGCAGACCATTTCTGAAATCTTGCTAAGAAAACCACAAGGACTAGTCTAGGCAGTTGCCAAGAGTCAACACTGATCTGAAGGGTCTGTCTGTCTGTCTATCATCCATCCATCCACATTAACATTAAACAAAGATAATAAAATGCCTGTTCTTGATTTTTTGGTCACATTTTTGGTCTCATAATGATACTCACTGAATTTGAAGCAGCAACTTGAATTGATAGCATTGGCCAGGCTAGGGGAGATCTTATATGAGTCTTTATGGCTTTGCATTATGTAGTATTGAGGAGACAAAAGACTTGTCATCCACTATTGTAAAACAAGCAAAATAAATTCATTGCTGGAAAACAAATAAATATAACTAAACAAAACAAAACAAGGCCTGTAAAGCACTGAAGATCTGGATTCCCCCCCCCCCAAGTGGTAGGATAAGATGAGGTGACTGCAAATCAGAAAGTTTACCTGGCACCAAGTTTCTTTTTATTGTCTTTGGTTTTTAAAATTTTAATATGGTTTTTATGTTGTTTTAATTTTTGATTCGGAGTTGCCCAGAATTTGTTTTAAGAAGGGTGGCTATAAAAATATTTTAAATAAATATAAATAAATACCTGGGAAATAATTTTACAAACTTCTGTTGCCTGGAGCCTTTAATGATCTTTCAATCCAATATTGTATTGTATTTTAGAGTTGAAATTTATGTGTCTTCAACACGTATCTTCATAGCGACAAGAACACAGACACTACTATGGAGGCGCTCTGGACAGAAATCTCTGAAAACCTGTTTCCCCAGGCTTTGGCTTAGGATAGATGCCAATCCCTGTCTGATCAAGTATCTTTGGTAGTGGTGGGGAAATATCTATTCTATTCTATTGTTTACTTTTTTAATGCTGCCAATCAACCCAAGTTTTATGGAGTTGTGTGGCCTCTAAATCTGTAAATAAATAAGATCATTCACTCCAGACAATAACATAATTAGCATCTAACATTTGCCATACCAGCTAACATTCCCCCTGATAATACTTTGCCTTCTACTTTAATAGAAGAGAAATAGAACAACAGCAAGCCAAAAATTGATTATATTCCTGCCAGTTGAGAAATGCTGAGTTAGTTACCCATGTTTTATAGCCCTCTGTTTTATAAAGCTTGGGTCTCAGGCTAATTTATTCTGGCTGTTCTGAAATTAAGAAACTTCTCTTTTTGGTTGCTGGGACTGCAGAAATAGCTAATAAGATACCCAAGTTTGTGCAGTTGTCATTGAAAGGATTAAAGGTTTAGACTGCCTATTATATGTTAAATAATGATATATGTTATCCATTCTATGGATAAGATTAGTCTTCTTATAACCTTAGGCAGGGCTTTTTTTTGTCATAGAACGCTCAGAACGGAGTTTCGGCACCTTTTTTGGATGGAACCTTGTAGGGTAGGCAAGGCGGGTTGTATAACGTGTGTGAGTTCCGGCACCTTTTTTTTTATATATACAAAAAAAGCACTGACCTTAGGAAGAATAAGGATATGAAACACTAGGTGACTAGGGAATGCTTTTACTCTTTACATCATTTCTTCCTTTGGTACGTGTATTTTTCTGAAGATAGGCCAGACAATACCTCAGGTACCAGCTGTCTCTTTATTGTAAGGTTACATTAACACAACTTTGAATGACTGAAAGTATTCCTCCCCTCCTTTCCTTTTACTCTCCAGAAAACTATGGAGGCTACTTTCTGAAATGCTTCTCATGCTTTCTACTTGGGTCTATGACAATTCACTGTGGCCAACTTGCCACGGCCAATTTGCAGCAGCCAACTCGCCACAGGAAACTTGTCATGGCCAACTCATCGCGGGACAGCTCGCTGCAGGATAAGTGTTACACTAATATCAAAGAAATGGTGGAATAGAAACATTAAAGAAAGGATGCAAAAGGAGGGACAGAATGAAATGTGAGTGACAAAAATTAAAATAGTTTTTTTATTTATTTTAAATAATGAAATTGAATTGTTTAATTGTCCTGTGATGAGTTGACCATGGTGAGTTGGTCGTGGTGAGTTGTGCCATTCTGATCCACTCTTCTTGCTGCTGAGATACTGTACCTTTTATATGGTTGTCCAATCTGCTGCTCCCCCTGATGTCTTCCAAAGTCATTCCAATGGACCATGACAGCAGACCAAGATCTACTCTAATCTTGCCTAAAAACAGACACCTTAGTTAGGACATCCACAACCTTTTATGCACTAATTATTTACAAACATTGGTAAAAAAAAATACTATAAAATATAAAATAAATCCAAGAAAGGCAGTTCATAACCCAATTCAGCAAAAATGATAATAATGAATGAATTTATTATGACACAATTAAGTGGGCAAACTGAATAATATACATATGATATCTGCTCTCTGTAATGTGTGTGTATATATACATACACATTATAGAGAGCAAGATAGCATATGTAAACTATTTTATCATGGTTTCAGATCATAATACAACCAAATATATAAACAATAAATGTAAACAGATTTTATAAAGTGTGAAATGAGTATATGAAATACAGAAAGAACAGTGACAGTATTTCATTATGGGTTATGGGGTTATGACCGTAATTTCCATGACTAAGTGATGCAGTTGTAAAGCAGTGCATCTTCACTGTCTTCAACAACAGAAATTCAAAGAGAGATCATCTGAATTTTTTTGCAATTTATCAGCAAGATTATTCTATTTGAAAAACACAAAACACACTTTGTCTAACACAAAAGCTGTGAAAATTGGCATAACTAAACAAGAAAAATTGCCTTATCGTGTATTATATCTATTATGAATGGCTACCATAATAGATATGATAAACAAAATGCCAGATTTCATGGTATTTTATTGACTGATTGATTGCTTAGTCAGTAAGGTATTACAAAACTATGAGTGTATGATTACTATATCAAGGGAATGCGGCTCCTGATAATGCTGACTTCTTAATATTCTTGAAATATTCTTTAACAGTTCAAAATGAAAAGTCTGAAACAGGGATTCATGCCCATTACAAAGCCATGCTTTTTTTTTTTTTTTTTGGCCATTCTCTTGGATCAAGCCAGAAGGAAATTATGCCATCATCAAATCTGTTACTTCAGACGGCTAACACACTGGAACACTGTATTCCACATGAAGAGGAGGAGGGAATCCCAGCTGCAGTCCTCTCCCCCACTTGCATGTGCAGAGAGCTTGCAGATGCATAAAAATGGTCTGCTAGTGTGCTTTCTTTAAGCAATCAGGCTCCATTCATCCTTAGGGGATTAGGTGTACAAAGCCTACATGCATACTGCCTATATATACAGAGAGTCTGTGCATTCAGTGCTAATCTAAATGAAAAGGACAGCGGCAAGAAGAATGGGCTCTATCCAGCTCCTGCATTTGAATATCCTTAAACTTGATCCTTCTGAAAAGGATTAGAATTAAGCTTTTTGATTTCTGTCCAGTTGATTTCTGTGATTACTTACTTGTTGTTTGATCTTAGGAATATCTAGCCATGGGGCTCATTTTGTTATTTTAGTGGATGTAGTTGCTTTTAAAGATGGACCATGACTATTGTTTAAGTCCAACAAATAATCTCTGATAAATTAAAATTCTCCTATTTCCACATGATAAGAAAAAGAGAAATAATTTTTTCCCACCTTGCTTTTCTTTAGCCAATGATAAAAGCATCTTATTGGTGAAGGTGGAAGCTTTTTAATTTTCCTTTTATATGTAGGAACAAAAAAGACCTTTCTCCATTATTATAATCACATGGGTTACATGCAAGGAAATTAAAATAACACATCAGTATGCTTATCATTCAAGACATTCTAGGATAGAGTAGTGACCAGTCAGCATGTGTGCAAAGGTTTAGAAGGCAAAAATTTACATTAAACCAATACAAAATGGATATATTGCGCTATACCCGTTTGAAAATACTGTAAGCATCCTGATACTGATATCTATTCCCATGGAACAGATTCAGCAGTGATCAATGAGAATTTGTTTCTAACAAATTCAGAGAAGAGATGTTATTCTAAGAGAATACTGCAAATGTACATAACTGTGTAGGAAGTACCAGATTCTATTTCAAAAGAATGGGAACATATTCCAAAACCATTCAGCCAGATGGCTGACTTCTGTTTATCACCGAAAAGAGGAAGATAGGACTCCAGTCCCACTGAATACTGTAGTACCAACCTATTTTGCAAATGTTCCTAATTTATCCTGATACCAAATAAAAAGTGTAACATCCCTTCTGCCTGCCATTGAACCTGTTGCTATAGCATTTTCATCAAAGGAGGATTCTAACGTCAGAGAAATCTATTGCTGCCTACTGTCTTAGGGCTTTTTATTTTTAAGTAATCAGCATCTTTCAGCCCACCTTAAGCAGTCAGTCAAGCTCATTGATTTGACAAGGATTAATCTAGGCAACTGCAACTATAAGCACTTGTTTCATTAAGTACTTCAGATAGCACAAGAGGAAAAATTAGGATACTAAACATTGTGCGGGACTCCTTAAAACTGTCTGATTGCAATTAAAGTCCAATACATTCAGAAGCCAGAAGAAAAGTGATCATGTTCTTTGATTTCACATCACATGCATCAAGAGATTAAAGAAAGAGAGCTACAATTATAATCATTTACACAGTATTGAGCAGATTGATCAATGTGATGGTAAAACCAATATTTTTGCTTCTTTGGCAAATAGGTTTGTCAAATAAATTTACAAGGTTGTACAAAACATGTGCAAAAGAAATAACAACATCGAAAATCTGAGGAACATTTATGCCTGATGTTAAATTTGCATAAAGGACAAAAGAAGGATGTTTACAGTATCTCTCATTGAGTGTGTATGTGTGTTCATGTGTTCCTGTGTGTATGTGTGTGTGCATGTGTGTATTTGTGTTTACAAATCAACTATGAGACATTAACTTAAAATTGCAAACATTGTCCTTTTGTTCTTTATACTGTGACTCTTGAGAATTTATACCACAATATTTGGTTTCCCTATCTGTAAAATGGGAAAGTTCTATAGGAGTTCTTTGCCACCCAGGATTAATTTAAATGTAAAAACAAATGCAGTAAAATTAGATGTACATCTCATTTTGAACTTCTGTATACATTGTGGCCACAAAATATGTTTAAGACCCCAGGTAATTAATGGTAGAAATGATAATCAGTGACATGGAGATTGCAAGTAGAATATGGTTGACTCAGCTTTCCATCCTTCTGAGGTTGGTAAAATGAGGACCCAGATTGTTGGGGGCAATGTGCTGATTCTGTAAACCACTTAGAGAGAGCTGTAAAGTACTGTGAAGCTCTATGTAAGTCCAAGTGCTATTGCTATTGCTATTATGTAAAACTTCATTATCTAAACATTATTTTAAATGCCTCAGAATAGGCAGGATTCTATTTGCGGAAGATAGTGTAGAACAAAACATTGCAAAGTTAAATGCTGATGTTTGTATTTCATATACTACTTTAGCCCAAACCCCTTCTATTTTCTGTAAGTAGCCAGCATTCCAGGAACAGCAAACATTTTTGGTTTGCATCTGCAAACAGTATCTGCTGATGCCTCTTGTTTGTACATGGAGGATATCGTATCAGAGGCAACAAGACTCACAATCGGAATATCTGAAATAAAGGAAAGTATAACTAAACATAAAAGATTAGTACTATTCCAGAGAATCTGCATTTTTCAATAGAATCTCATCCTTCTTTTATTCTGACTTCATAAAATAAAGTTATAATTGTTTTGTGAATTATTAACCAGCTTAGATTTAAGCAACTGGAATTTGGAAAATTATCCTGAACTACAGTTTATTTCTTAAAATCCTTTATTCTGAGACAAAAAAGAGATGAAACCTAATCTTGAAAATCTATAAGGTTCAAAGATCTACTAAGACATATTTTCAGTTTTATGGGCCTAGAAATTTGAAATCCTGTAAATACATTTCTGCCTAATTCTTGTGATAGAACTGCTTGCGTATCAGATAATTTAAATTTATTTTTTTCTGCTTGGAAGACTGACCTATTTTTTTCCTAGTGTTAAGTGCTTACAGCTCAAGGCAGTTTACAGATAAAATAAATATTAAATAGATATAAAGTTTCAAAGCCAGTCACAAGTGCACCAATGGTTCTTCCACTAAACTCATTGAACTCAATGGTTGTGGGGGGGGGTATAAAAATGTATGGAAGACAGCATTCTTCCCTCCCAGTTGCAGTACCATGGAAATTCTCTGATCTTTCATGACAATTAAGTTCAGAAAAGCTGTTTCAATAAAAGCTTTTTTTTTCAGTTTATTTGTCATACTCAGATTATCATCAAGGAGAATCAAAGTGAGCATATGGTTATTTCTTTCCTTTTAGATTTTTTTTTAAATTTTCATCTTCTTTTTTCAAAGGAAATGAGAACAGAGAAAATAAATCTGGTTTTTGTTGTAAGCGACCCTAGTTTCAGATTCTCAGTTACTACAGCTATCTCACCTATATCTATCTGTCTATCTATCTATCTATCTATCTATCTATCTATCTATCTATCTATCTATCTATCGCTATCGCTATCGCTATTGCTATCTCTATATCTGAAGATTATTTATCAACACCTAACAGACTTCAAAAAAGCTGCAAATCCCTATACATTTATCTGGATATAAATCCTACTGAATTTACTATAACTTCATATACTATACATAGAAACATACCTTAGAAACACCTTTTTCAACTAGCAATTTAAATCTGTGGTTGACATATCGTACCAGAAGGCAGTCAGACGGGTTAGGAAAGTGGGTGGAACATACTAACTAAGCATATACAGTGTGTGTATCTGAAACTATGAAGTATCGGGAGCTGCTTTGTATATCCCAGTTACTTGAGGACAAATGATCAACCAGCTTTTTACAATACCTCCTTTTTACACTTATACAATATTGCTCATAGAAATAATTATAGGTGGAACTATTTGATGTCCTTGTGGAAATACTAGGGCATAATCTAATCTTGCATAGCCTAGAAAAACAACATCCAGTTCTTTCAGGGTAGAATATGTAGGCCAACATTATTTACTTCAAAAGTCAGAGGATGGAGCAGTTGGAATTTTTTACCCTGACTGGAGCAAATTGCATGGTTATCATCTACACATCATTTACCCAGACACGACTGAATGGATATCATCATCATTATTATTGTCATCATCATCATCATCATCATCATCATCATCTCAATTCAGGCCCCACCTTCCCCATGAAAAGGAGCCATATGAATTGAAGGTTTGCCTTTGACTATGGGATTGAAATTCCTTCTCTGTATTGCTCACATGACACATATAAAAAATGGGACAGGGCTTGAGTTGTATAGATGATTAACTTTTTGACACCTCTCCTCCAGGCCCCTCCATTGACATCTGAAAAACTAATTCAGTCTCCCTTGGTCTCCAGATAGGAGAATATAATCATTTAGGGTACCAGAGAGGAGAAGAATGAGCTAAACCAAGAGAAAACAATAACAAAGATGCTGTTTAAAATATGCTGGTACTTAATATTTATGTTAAGGATTAAATAAAACAGGAATGGCAACATGACAAATATTGTGTCAAGGAGGTATCATGATTAAATTGCTGGACTATGACTGGAAAAGCTCAGGTTTAGCCTCTCTGAGTCAAGAGAGTTTAATGGATGACTTTGAGCCAGGCATTCTCAGCTCAGCCTGGTAACAAGGTTTGTGTGGGGAAAAAAAGCTGTGCAAAATAGTATTACATGTATCTCTTTGAACTCCTGGTGAGAACATGAGGGGAAAAAACTCAAATCAATAAGAAAATACATACATTATTTAACTGGCCAAGACCTTGTAGTATGCTTTGCACTGGAAGCAGAAATAATTGTTTAATGAACTGGAAATCACAATGATTCATTTCAATGATATATAAATGTTTACAACTTTTTCTACTTTGTATCACATCTCCTCACTTGCAAGAGTTTTTTTCAATACTCATGGAGCTGCTGCTTTGGACTGTATGCCTATGATCCTGTTCAAAGTGACTCCAGTCAATGTGACACATCCTGCATGTGCAATGTGGTGAACTGACATCCATGATTCTTGATTCTGTTTGAATTCTTGAAGAATGCCCAAATATTACTGCCCAATATTACTAATAACATATAGTATAATTTAAAAAGCTGATTTCATACAAATAATTGTGTTTGGAAATGTTCTCTCAAGCCATACTTTCTTATAAATGTTGGCAAAGTTCAAGTTGAAGAAAGTGAAAATCTCTTATTTCAAGGCTTGTTATCAACCTAGACAAGCTACCAGTATTTTCTTTATTGGGATAAAACTTTTCAAGGATTAGATAGATCGTCTGCCTTCATAAATCTACAAGATTGTAAAATACCACAAGACCAGTGCTTTTTTTCTAAAAAAAAAAAAAAAAAGGTGCTGAAACTCACACACATCATACAACCCGTCTTGCCTACCCTACAAGGTTCCATCCCAAAAAGGTGCCAGAACTCTATTCTGGGTGTTCTATGAGAAAAAAAGCACTGCACAAGACTATTAATTGTGTGACAATGGACTAATCTTTTTAGCTCTGGAAGTATTTTTGTTCCTTTGTTAAGGAAGAAAACTTGAACACTAGTTTGCCTTATGAAAGTGCTTTTCTTATACAGAGTGAAATAAAAAATTGATTCTGAGACAAACACTTTCTAGTTAAAACTACATGTGAGGAAATTCCACAATCATACATATGAAGAGTAATGAATTTGTCAAGACATAGCAATTTCCTTATCTCCTTTCTACTCCTGGTTTCCTGCAGTGGCTGAAGCTTTTAGGACAGTGTAGGAACTATGCTTCTGTTAAAGTCAAATGAAGTTTTGAGCCTTATTGACTTTTCAAAGTCAGCTAAAATAAGTTTGTTGTTTTTTGTTCTCTTGTTTTTGTAAATCAAACCTGCACAATGAGATAAGAGCTTAGAAGCAGAAAAGTTAAATAGGAAATCTTTAAAGAAACACTTCTACATGCCTACACAAAAAGATAAACCATCTTTTAAAACTAGTATGATGTAATAAGGGAAACATCTTAAGTCAACTTTATGTCGCTGAGCAAGGAAAGATAAGGGGAGAAAGACATTTTAATTCTGTTTTTTTATCCTGTATGCTGCTTGTTGAATCAAGAGGAAGTGGGACTGTAGTAAATAGAAATTTGTCATTTTTGGTCATCTTCACAGATATTTTTTTCTTTCATCCTTGCAATTTCTAACCTGACATTCAACAGGTTTTCTAAACAGCTATCCTAAGACCTGATGATATCCATGCAATTTGTAGCATTACATTGGAATAGCTTTGCACTCTTAGCAAACCCTTTTCCATTTTCACATTCAGATGCAAAATAGGAATCCATTCATGTCACTCTGGTGGGACATGTATATATTTTTTTATTCCTGGAAATCCTTTTGCAACAACAGAAAGGTATTCATTGACTCATTGCTTCCTTTTCTATAATATGTCCAAAGTGGCATTACATTACCAATAGAAACTAGCAAAATTAAGTGTGAAAACTAAGGATAATTGCTCCCTTCCAGCAAAAGAAATCAATTAGAATTAAATACTTCATTGTAAGGAATGCAATCAATATACACCACTAAAAAAATAAACACAATAGAGTGCTTGAAAGAATGTTTATTCAATATTTTTATATTTATTCAAGGAGTAAATGAAAATTACAGAAACAGGACTATAGTTATGTAAGCCGTGATGCAATGGAGGCATAGCCTAATTTATTTTACAATCAATGAAAAAAGGACTAACTTTATATATGAAGCAAAATTATAAAAATTGTAACATTCACTACTTTGATTAAAAGCAGAACTGAACTGCTTTTCCACTGTGTGCTTTCTGCTGTCTCTGACCAATTTCACATGTGCTTCTTAAAGGGCTTCTGAACTGTTGATATATGTGTGCAAATGATAGAAATGAGCTTTTCCAGATTTTAAAACTGATTGATAAAGGGTTCACAGTCCCTTTCATATTTCCTATGGTTGTTGTTCCAACTGTTGTCTATCAGTGTTTCATTTCAAGCCCATTTTCCCTTCTGCTATCTCTCTTTTCAGCATTGCGTTGATTTTCAAATAGTAGATTTTAACTTTTTTCTCTCACTTCTGAAAGTGGGTTTTTCTTTTTGTCACAAAAATAGCATTGCTGGTATATATGGTTTCCCCTTCTCCTCTATTTCCATTCTGAGGTTAATTGCACCATCATTATGTTTACATCAGATCTTCTTAGCCTTCACACCAGTGTTTCTCATATTTGGCAATTTTAATATGTATGGACTTCAAGATCTGGAATTCTCTAGCTAGCATGTTGAAATCCATACATTTTAAAGTAGCCAAGCTTGAAAAATACTGTTTTAGATCATTCCACTCATTGTTCCTAGTCCCTTTGCTCTATCAATCTTCATAGACTTCAATGTAAATTATTGTCCTCCAAATTGCTGGAAATAAAATAGGGTTATAAACCCAGGGTGGTTTTTGTGAGCAAGCCCTTTAGATCTCAGCATTACCCCAGAATCCAGAAAGCCTGGTCTGTGGGTAGTAGTTTCAGGGGTGCTTATATTGCTTTACCTGCAGTAGCTGTGCATACAGTATAGGCATTGTAAACAATATAACTGAAGGCTAATGCACAAAATAATTAACAAGTAAGGCAAAAGAGAGATGTCTTGGCTGTTCTTTTAAAGGCAGAAAGAATGGAGCTCAGAAACCATCCCCAATGCACTCTACACTAAGGAAAGCCCCTTCTGAATGCCAGATTAAAATGGGTTTCTAACAGCAGGGACATCCTATTCCTATCCAGCACATTTTTAAAACTTAGAAAATACTCAAATGGGATGTGGCAGCCAGATAAAGAAATCTAGAAATCCTGAACTGGGATCTTCCCCATTCTTAACGCAGGGCCACAAGTGGTGGATGTTTGTCCCGCTGGCTGATAATGTGGTGGAAAGGGATAAAGAAAGCTGACTTTCCTTATGTAAAATGCTGGCACACTCACAGATCAGCACAGCCATATTCCAGAAGCAGAGGCAAAGGGGAACCATAACACATGTTAAGAAACAATTGTTTCACACTGATTCAAGGATAGATGGATAGCTTTTTAATTCACCCATGGCTAAACACCTCCTGAAACCTTCCTAAACCTGGATGTTTGAATTCTGAGCACTGTTAAAACAAATGATGAGGAAGAGAATGCTTTTTGGTGCGATGAAAATCTGCTGATACTTTTTGAGCTTCAAACATAGATCCGTATTTCCAAAGACGCTAAACTATTCCTTTTGTTTACTTTTGAAAAATTTGATCCTTATAATCTGAAAAGGTTTTGAATTGTTCTTTGCCAATGGGCATTTAAAAGAAATGTAGGAAATATGTTATGAATGGTATTTTAATAACTTTCATAATCAATCATGTATGTTCCCTATTCATCGTGCCATCCTTGGTACATACCTATGCTGATGATAATATCTCTGTATTCAGTTTAAAATGTGTGGGTGTAGCTTGTAACAACAATAATGATCTTTTTGAGTCATAAGAATAGTGCCTCCATTATGGAAGTGCTTATTCAACTGGAATTTTAAACTAGAAGAACAAGTTGACTGCTACCTTTTCCCCTTATGTAGTCAGGATAATTGACAGTGTTTGTTGGGATGTTTAAGATGTCAGTCAAAGCAGCACTTGTGTCAAAAACCTGTTATGGGGTGGAGCACAATGTGCCTAACCATCAACATCCATATAGCTGCATTTGTTTCCTAGT